TTTTTTTTTTCACAATTATCAAAAGCTTGATAGATACCATTTTAACAGAATGTATCTTTGCTATGGGACCCCATTATGCCATTGCGATGACCACAATGCAACCTGTTCAGCAATGATCGGGCATTTGTGCAATACCAACATAGAGTTGTAATATAACTGCTAAATAGTGCTGGAAACAGTTTCTAGCCACTTTAAAAGTGGAGCACAATAGGGAAAGTAAAGTTTAAGGTAGCTCGTATTCAGAAGATACTGTAATAAAAGCCTTATCTTTGTTAAACAGTTTATGCTCATTTTCAAATTTTGTCATCATCGTGTTGGTTGCCAGGGGAACGACTTACCGATGAACTTGAAGTTGAGAAAGATAAGTTAATACCGCAGCACCAAGCGACGTTTCGACTGCTGGTTCGTAGCTAATTTTTCTTGTCGTCAAGCTAGTTAAAACTTTTCGAGAAAAACCAGAAAAACAAAAGCCTTGCCAAGTACCATTCTCTTTCATTCGTTTTTTTTCACAACAGGGTATTGCCATTAGAAAAGAATTCACTTTAAACCCAGGGAGCACCACCACAAACACTGTAGGCTGTGAACGCGTACACGTTTTATTTAGCTCTATCTACGAGTGCAACGAACAATAAATAATATAAATTATATAATAATAAAATTTAACAAAACATTTATTTACAAAACCGTTCATATTCCATAAAAATATGATGTCAAGAAAAATGATTGCAATTCTTTTTACCGTGAGCGTAAATTGATATTTCTCTCATCTTTCTTAACTGGACATAGAAAGTTCAGTTCGCTTAACAATTCAAACACATGAGCTACGTTTTTAGTCTGCTTTTTACTCAGTTAATGATAAATGCGTATAAATGCGTAAATTTAAATTTCACACGGCGAAAATTTCGTTTTTTCAAGGCCGTTATTCAGAACATTAGGAACGGTGAGAACACTAGTAAAATATGCTTGAAAGTAAGCATACAATTGTACTGATACAGAACGAAGTAAATGCTCCACTTAATGTAAGTCCGCCAGACGAAAGCAAGTGATCTATATCGAGACCTTGTAGTTTGCCTTTTCCTATATCGTCGATTCCACTTCCAAATTCATCAATTACTTTGTCAGAGTCTTCGTCATCAAAGCCTTGCATATATGTGTCGTCATTGTCCATGTCCTCTCCGCTCTCTTCATTTTCATCTTCACTATCTTCTTCTGACTCTTCACCACTTTCATCGCTATCCCCATCGTCACTTTCATCGTCTTCGTCTTCGTCGGACTCCTCGTCATCATCGTCATCATCTCCATCATCATCATCATCTCCATCATCATCATCATCTTCATCATCTCCATCATCATCATCATCTTCTTCTTCATCATCATCATCATCATCATCTTCATCATCATCATCTCTATCATCTCCATCATCATCATCTTCATCATCTCCATCATCATCATCTTCATCATCTCCATCATCATCATCTCCATCATCATCATCTTCATCATCTCCATCATCATCATCTTCATCATCTCCATCATCATCATCTCCATCATCTCCATCATCATCATCTCCATCATCTCCATCATCTCCATCATCTTCGGAGTCTTCTCCGTTCTCGCTGTCACCGTCGTCATCTTCAGACTCATCGCCACTTTCATTATCTTCTCCATCACCACTGTCATCACCAGGCTCATCGTTATTTTCATCACCGCTGTCATCTTCAGACTCCTCGCCACTTTCGTCGTCATCTCCATCACCGCTGTCATCACCAGACTCATCGGCATTTTCATCACCACTGTCATCTTCAGATTCATCGTTATTTTCATCACCGTCATCATCGCCAGACTCGTCACCATTCTCATCGTCATCTCCATCACCGCTGTCATCACCAGGCTTATCGTTATTTTCATCGCCATCATCATCTCCAGACTCCTCACCGCTCTCGTTTTCTTCTCCATCGCCACTGTCTTCTCCAGATTCATCGCTTTTTTCGTCGTCATTATCATCTCCAGACTCCTCGCCACTCTCATCTTCATCACCATCACCATCACCGCCGTCATCTCCGGAGTCCTCACCAGTTTCGTCGTCTTCGTTTAATTTGTCATCTGTATCATCTGAATATGAAATACCTCTATGTTATTTGCAGAAATATGGAATTTAACTCATACAATTTTCATTCCCGAAGATCCAATACAATGTCTTTTTGGATTCTGGTAGAGTTTAGCCTTGCCTTTTTCCGCTTGAGACAACAAACAAGCACCGCATTGTCGTTTAGGACCGGCATAAACAGCAACTTTTCGCCTGAAGACTTGGTTTTAGTAAATTAGAGGCACTTGTACTTGGTAGGCGAAAAACTTCGATTTTCGCAGTCGTCTTTATAAATTTAATTCGAAATGTTTCATAACACAAATTATTCTTTGACATTGTGTATCACACATATAAGCAATAATTTAAATCATTAAAAACGTGAAAGGGCGAATGGGGAACTTACATAATCTTTTATCTGGATGGAATCGCAGAGTCGGTGGTGAAGTAAACTGGCCGCCTTTGAATATTGGGACTTAAGGACTTAACTGCGTCAAATAGAAAAGCTATATCGAAAACATTTGCAACAGTCAGGGTCTTTGGCTTCAGTCGACCCTTATTGATCATTTCTTTGGGAAATCGTCAACAACGTTTACTCATCGGACTAAAAGTTAAAACTAGTCAGTTTGAATATCTCACCATCAATGTCGTCTCCACTTTCACCTTCTACGCTTCCTTCTTCGGTACTTCCGTCTTCACTGCCGCTTTCACCACTTTCATCTTCACCACTGCCACTTTCGTCCATAACATCTTTGAAAAAAAAAGGTTTGTTTTTGTCAAAGTTGAACGAATAGTGAATTCTTTAAGTGGTTTTGATCTACAACATTTAAGTAATACGGCAACGTTGAAGTTACGGTTATAGTGAAAACAATACCTTACAACTTAAGTTTACCATTAGCAATCAAGTTAGCTCGTATTGAGAAAATTACTGCTAACAAAATTTGGAACCTGAAAATTGTTTTAAAGCTGGACTGTCAACAAAATCTTCACTATCAGTAAAGTGATCACACAAATGACTTGTGAGGACATAATAATGCTGAAATGAATATTAAGTCGTAATGCTGCTCTATATATTCATTTCATTTCAACCGGAACATGTTTAATTCTATCAAAGAGATACGTTCAGCTCAAATACGACATGGGACACATTAAGTTCTAGAATATTTTTTGTTCAGTGCAAAAAAAATCTCATGTCAGTCACAAATCACGCTCATTTTGTGGACTCAGAAACGGAAATTTTAGGGTAGAAAAGAAATAATACATTTTATCACATCTTACCATTTTGCATAGGTAAAGGCAAACTCCAGAGTGGGGTGAACAAAGCCACGAGACAAAGAATAAGCAAGACTTTGGAGGCCATATTTCTTCTGCTCTTCAATGTTCTCTCTTCAAGTCTTCTCGGTTAATGATTTCGTCCACTCTTACATGGGCATTTATATGCTTCTTGAGTTAGTTGCAAAATACTGACATTTCTCTGGTACTTGACATATTGCAATGTTTGTTAAAGAAGGCGGAGGAATATTGTCAAACATTAAAGCTGACGGGAATCTGAGATATTGCGAAACTGATTTAGAAACACTTAGACAGCATTTACTTAAAAAAGAAAAAAAGTCAAGACCTTGGATTAATTGTTACGCAGTTCCATAATCTATAAATATGGAAAAACTTGGTGAAGATCGAAGTGTTTCCTTTAATTGGCAAGAAGTTTTTTCCAATATTGGCCTTCTTTTTATAGTTTCCATAGAAACACTTCTGTACACAGCAAAGCTATCTATCTAATATAGCACACGTTAAAACACTTTTTCTTTGCGGCATTTCAAATTACCTGCTGTCGTTATCTTTTGGACTTAATTGGATTTTACTAGCTCTCATGTTGATCTATTATGTTCGTGGCTCAAGTTGTTAATGGCTGTTTCAATAACAATATCCTCTTAGAATTAATTTTTGATATTCAGCGAGTGCCGCTGACAAGGGTACTTCAGCTGCCAATAACATTCAAGATTCACACGGATCCTCTCTTAGAAGGGCCCGCAGGCCCATTAGCGATGTTTTCGAATTTGCGGCTTTGTATCTAAGGGAAGACAACAACTCACCATGGAAATGCCCAACACTTCCTTTCAATGTACGCTGTTTGTTTTGGTGTTGCTAGGCGAATAAATAAAAATAACGAAGTGCCTAATTTCCGTTTTTAAGTTACAATTAATCATATTAAAATATAGGTGAGCTATATGTAGACTACTGTTGAGGCATTTTGCTTTTCAATGTTATTGCAACCTAACTGACTTCAAACTAGAATAATGCTTTAATAAATCAAATGAGGTTCTTTTTGCTTTTGGAATATTTTGTAGAAGACGTGCGAAAAATTTAGAAGCATACTTAGGAAAATAATTTTCAGCTTATTTTAGATTGTACTTGGGTAGTTTTTGAGGGTATTTGAGAATATTAAATCCATACATTCATTCCCGTATCAATAAACCCATAATTAAAACCCATAAATTAAACCCATACATTCATTCCATATCAATGTTGGTTTTTTTACAAATATATATATATATGTTCTTTCTGTCATATCACTGAAAGCTTAATGTACATTATAATACAGCGTTCTTAACTAAAAATAACTGTATTGAAATTTTAGAACTACGAAAAGGAAAAATTAGCACTGATATAGCCATATGCTTCACCACTGCGACGTTGTGTCTAACAGCCAGCGAGGGAAAGGTTTTTGACGATTTACTTGTCTATTACTTATTTTAGATGTTAATCCTAGGTTATTTTTAACGTTACAGTGTTTATTCGACAAGCTAAAAATTAAATCAAATCAAATCAGTGTGGTATTTTTTCTTACGGACAGATCATAATCTTCATAATAGCCATTTTGTCCTTTTAGTTGCAAGCTTGAACATCAGCTTCAGAGAACGCAAGAAACAACTTTTGAGAGCATGACTCGAGCCTTGATATGACGGTACATAAAGCTTTAATGACCATTCAGTGCTATCTACATCGTCAAGTCTATTGCCAGTCCTGACAATTCCCACATGTAATGCCTCAGTAATAGCGAGAACACAAGACCTTCAGCACTAGATCTAAAGTGACTTTCAAGAAGAGCAATTTAAACGACGAATTTAGGATGACCCAGATAACAGTAAGACTATCAAATCACAAAATAAGAAAGAAAACAGTACGAGTATATAATGGTGTAAAAGACCAAATAAATACCTCTATTTAAAAACCAAATCAAGGTACAAAACTACTGCTCCTACTCTATAAGAAGACGAGTTTTGAATTAGCAACACTAAAACGGACAAAACTGTGAACAATGGAAGACTTTACCTGGATTTTTACTGAGGAAAAACGGAACAATACCACAATTTTAGGGGTGGCGAATGGTAAATGCGAGACTGCGCGAGACGGCGAGACAAGCGTTTTCCTCTGCGAGCCCGAAACATTTTGACATTCTAAATNTGCGAGACCGAGACTTCAAAGGGTTTGACGTGCGAGCGCAAGACGTTCAGACTCTTAAAATTCGGGCCCCAGATTTAGCTGAGAGCTAGAACGAGCTTGTGCGGTCTTTTAGCCAGCCTCTTTAAACTGGCTGGAACTGGAAATTCGATTATAACACACTAAATTATGATATCGTAGAACAAAAGAACTGTTTTACTGGAGTCAAAACGGACGCTGCGAGAGGTTCTGTAGCTTTCTGTGGAATTCAGACAATTTAGGAGAAGTTAGGATTAACTTTTTCTCGGAAATTTTTAAGTTGCTTCATTGAAATTCAATATCAAGTGAAGAGAAGACGTCAGTTATAAAACCTTAGGTAAACGAACGAACCGGGACTTTGAAATCCTTTAGCTTTGCGAAAAATCGAGACTCCGAGACAGCTTTCTATAAAAATCGAGGCTGCGAGACGCACATAACCGCTAAACGAAGAGACGGCGAGACCCGTGAAATTGGACTAAGATTTTGCAAGACCCAGAGTTTTTGAAGGACCATTCGTCACCCCTAATTTTGACAGATGCAACGACAGTGAAACTGGCTTCTTTTCTTGGGTCACTTTTTTAATATTCAAAGGAGCAGTATATTAACTAAAACTTAAGCCCTTCAACTGCAGAGTATGGATCGCATCTAATTTCTGACAATATATTAGTTGCACGTGAACATTTAATTTTCTTCCTTCTGAAATGATTCCATACTGTGTTGCCAATTTTTACCAGTATTTTAAGATGTACGTCTCCAGAAGTGAAACGTCATCGAAATCAAGAGAATAAAACAGTCCTGATTACAAGCCTCTCTGAAATGAAAAACCGCCAAATCAAAATAATGTACGATTGCGTACATCGATTTCCAAAGGTGAACGTTACCGATAACATCTATCAGGCCCCACGTGAAAACATTTCATATATTAGCTTATATTGGTCAGAAACGTTAGCGACAAGTGGGTACTCTTTAGCTTCTTCACATAAATACATTAAAGGGTTAAGAAAATTGACATCTGCTGCAAAAAAATAACCCTTGCCTACCGATAACATCATACCGTTTTTCCGTGCAGTTCATTTTGAAAGAACATAACATTACGTTCTGTCTTATGTAACTTATGTTACCGTTTGGATGTTATGAAAGAAATGAGGCATTACTAAAGTGATAATTGTCATTTTACTCAAGCTATACGTATATGTACAAGACCCCCCAGACCCGCTATTCAACAAGAAGGTGGAGATGCCTGCTTGTCTAGGTTTAGCAATTCGGTTTCCCTGACGGAAGAAAATCAGTATAATGAGTCATACTTACAGAATTACAGAGCTGCACATGTTATGGCAGATCTAGTGCTTATTTTGAAACGCACGTCACATCATGAACCTTTGCGATCGATTTTGGGAAACAATTTGCGAAGTTTTTTGTCACTCTAGTAGTCTGCAATCTGTGTTTTCTTAGGCATATTGAAAAAAACAATTCGATGTTTTAAGCGTTCTTCCAATTGAAGAAAAAAATTCCAGGTCAAGTGAAAATTTTAAACCATTGTAACCCCGCCCCTGTTTATCGGTAATCATCGAGCGTAACTGAAAAATTACACATTGTACCTACATTTGCTTAACGTGATTTTATTATTTTTGGATATATATGAAGTTAAGAGCAATGAAGCTAGTAACAATTAACACCAAAAACGTGATAACTATATTTAAAACAT